TTTTTGTAGCCCCAGCTTCCTGGAACTCGCTATGTAGACCAGGCTGGCCTGGCCTTGAACTCACAGAGATTCACCTGCCTCTGCCTCTCAAGTGCTGGGATTAAAGGCATACACCACCACACCTGGCTAAGACAGGTCTTTCTGTAGCCCCAGCTGGCCTGGAACTTGCTATGTATTCACTTTAACATTTAAAAGATCATATGAAAGACTAAGATATTGCCTGGCCATCATTGGTGGTAGAGGAGTTCAGAGAATGTTCTTTGTGGGTTAAGAATGTGCTAGAGAGCTTGCCTAATGTGCAAAACCATGGGTTTGATCTCTAGCACCTCCAGGAAACAGTGCTCTTTGGCACATTACTGGTTCATTGGAGAGAAACTTGCAGGGTGTCATGAACAGCTTGTAAGGAGGAGTCGCATGAAACACCTTTCACTTGGTATTAGGAAGAACTTGTACAATGATGAAAATAGGAAATGAGATTTGGGGGTCGTGACTATGAGGCTAGAAGTGATCAGGCCAGAAAAAGACCTTTGGAGTTTTTGCTTGCTCTCAGAGCTTGGTGGAGAGGCTAATGAGCTGAGAAAGCATGTTGATAAGTTTAAGGTTTGTTTTGGTTCCTGGCAGGAGATTCCCACTGATGGCAGGGATAAGAGTAAAGACAGAGAACTTGGTGAAAAAGGCAGGTAGTTGAAAAGAGTGGAATAATGGTACTACAGTGGCTTCCATCCCTACACCAGGCTAGGCAGCATCTTAGGTACTTAGACTGACCTCAGCTAAGTTGGGAATGACAAAGATGGATTGAAAAGCCAGGAAGTTGGGCACAGAACATAGAGCTGGGGGCTTGCTGGGAACTGTCTCAGTGATGGGCCTGTGGTAAATAAGAGGACTGGGGATCTTGTTCCAATGGGGAACAGCGGGAAGATGGAGGCTAGTAAAAGGTACCACTGATACCTAGAGGGCCTGATGAGGCCTCTGGACACAACTCTGGATTGAAGAAGGGCAGGTGGATTTGCTTTTCCAGTGGTTGCTGGCAAGGAACAATTCTGGGAAGGGGGCTTGAGAAAAGACTGTTGCATGGAGGGTCTACCACCCTCCCTATGCCCTATCTCTTAACTGGTGCTAGGCCAACAGGGAAAGCTTAAGTCAAATATGAAATAAAAGAGTTTTAAAGTACAACTATCCTACCTAAAAGTGACTAAAAAGTTACCTAACTGCTGTCAGAGGGGCCTAATGACCTGAATTGCCCAGTGTAGAAATTACTGAAAAAGCTTCATTTGAAATTATTTGAAGCAAGATAATTAAAAATTCTGGGTTTACTAAAAAGCTAGCAACCTGCCTGGCAGAACCCTCATTGACTGTCTAATTGTTGAACATTCACTAATTGTTGAAAAACCAGTTTCTGTTGGGAATGTTATATTTTAAGGCAGGCAGCTTCAACAAAAAAGAGACCAAATACCTACTTTATCTTGATGACCTAGGCGACACAAACTTAGATGTTGTTTGAAAAGACAGTAAAACATGTAAGACCAAGCTCTTTAATAAAAAAGTATTTCATATTCCATAATTGTCTGAAACATCCAGAAGAGCAAGGTCTCGGATCTCCTCTAGAAGCATGTACAGACTTCTTCCTTTTGTCTGGCAGTATTCCTGATAGTCCTCCTGCAGGACCTTGACTTGGACCTCCTGGGCAAGCTGCGCCTCTTCCACAGATCTGGTTACTTCTTTCACTAACTCACTCTTCAGAAAGGAGCTCTGATGAGAAAGTTCTGTGTTTCTTGTCATGTACGGTTGGTTGCTTACTATTTCAAGCTTGATTGTATCAGAGTGACAACGCAAGGCCTGTACAGAGATTCTTACCTGTCATACAGAAAATATGTTTACAGATCATGTTTTTCTTTACATGGAAAACAAAACATAAACATAGACTTACTGTTATGTGGTCAAACAAATGGAATGTAATAGATTTCCCTCCTGTTGTGGTAGAAGTGATTTTGTTTTGAAATCTTTGAAGGGATCCTGGTTTCCATTCAGAACAGCTTTCTGGTCCACATGAGATCACTAAGCCATCTTTGTTTTTCAGATAAGCAGCACCTTTAATCCCAAACCTGAATCATTGCCAGAATAAACAAGATAATATATTCTTAGTATGCAGATCTTGTATGTCTAGCCACTTTCCTGTGGTTTACCTCTAAAAACTTTAAAAGCAGATGCAGGGGCTGGACAAATGACTCATTGGTTAAGAGCTTTGGCTGCTCTTGCAGAGGACCTGGGTTTGGTGCCCAGCACCCACATGGAAGCTAACAACTGTCTGTAATTCTAGTTCCAGGAGATCCGACACCCTCTTTTGACCTCCCTGGGCACTGCATGACATGGGTGCACTTATATACATGCCGGCAAGACATTCGTACACATAAAATAAAAATAAAAACATTAAAAAAAAAAAAGCAGATGAAGCCAGGAGTGTTCGTGCACACTTTTAATCCCAGCACTCGGGAGGCAGAGGCAGGTGGACCTCTGAGATTGAGGCCAGCCTGGTCTACATGGTAAGTTCCAGGTCTTCCATGGTAAGTTGAGGCTATAGGGAGATACTGTCTCAAAAAGACCAAAAAAAGGGCAGATGAAGACTGATGTAGATGTATATATATGGACTCATTGCACTCATTGCTCCCTTTATTTCCTAATTACTTCCTAACTGTACATTACATATATATGGTCATTTTATGAATAGTGTGTATAATACTATTATGTATGTAGAGATACACACTTTTTGTTTCTTGAGACATGGTCTCTATGTCTCTATGTCTAGGCTGGCCGAAACTCACTATGTATATCAGGCTGGCCTCAAACTCAGAGATACACCTGCCTTTGTCTCCTGAGTGCTGGGATTAAAGTTGTGTGCTACTGTACCTACTTTATATTCTCTTTTTGAGACAGGATATCCTATAACTTCTGATCCTCTTGCTTCTACCTTCCAGAGTGCTAGAATTACAGGCATGTACCATCACATCTGGTTTTATGCAATGCTGGGGATCGAATCCAGGCCTTCATGCAAGCACTGTACTGAGTTACACCTTAGCCTATATTATTTATTTATTGCAGTGCTGGGATTAAACTCAGGACATTATTCATACTAGGCAAATACTCTACTACTGTGCCACATACCCCAGTCCAAATAAATACTTTAATAAATTATGTACTGTTTATGATTTCTTATTAACACTACAAGTAACATACCTTGGTATAAAGACAAGCACACCATTTGTTCTGATTGAATAAATAACTCCATCAGCTATGCACCGCTCCTCAGTTTCTGGATCTTTGTCTTTAAAGTACATGCACTGGAAGAGCTCCGTGGACTGCTTCTGAGAGTACTGTGCTGCCTGCAAGAAGCACAGCCCACAGCATGGAGACAGACTTCCCTGGCATTCCAGGAGTACAGCTGAAACACATATCTCCATGCAAACAGTTTTTAAAAGGGTGAGATTCAGCTGGGTATGGTGGCTCATGCCTGTAATCCTGGTACTTGGAGTCCGAGGCAGGAGGATTGTCATGAGTTTGAGGTCAGCCTTGGGGGTTACAGAGTGAATTCCAGTTTCAACTAAACCAAAAATAGAGAGGGGGAAAAAAGTTAGAAGCATCTATAGTTTATCCAACTGAAGGCCAGCAAATTTAAAATATTATTTCTTTTTTTTTTGGCCTTTTTGAGACAGGGTCTCCCTGTAGCCCCAGCTGTCCTGGAACTCACCATGTAGACCCAGCTGGCCTTGAACTCACAGAGATCCGCCTGCCTCTGCCTCCCATAAATGTGTAGCCCAAGCAGGCCTCGAACTCAAGATCCACCTGCCTCTGCCTCTTCAGCATATCCTACCGGTATGCACCACCACTACCGGCCTTTTTAAAAAAAATATTATTTATCATTTTTATTTTATGTGTATGTGTGTATTGCCCGCATGTAGGTAAGTACACCTATGTTGTGCAATGCCCGTGGAGGTCAGAAGAGGCTGTTGGATCCCCTGGGACTGGAGTTACAGACAGTTGTTAGCTGCCATGTGGATGCTAGGATTCAAACCCGGGTCTCCTGCAAGAACAACCTGTGTTCTTAACTGCTGAGCAATCTCACCAGGCCCTATTTATTCTTATTTTATATGTATGTTTTGCCTGCATGTATGTAACAAATGCATGCGATGCCCCTGGAGGCCAGAAGAGGGCGTTGGAGCCCCTGACACTGGAGTTATAGACATTTGATAGCTAGCTACCATGTGGGTTCTGGGAACCTAACCCAGGTCCTCTGCAAGAGCAGCCAGTGCTCTTAACTGTTAAGTCATCCTGCCAGCTCCAAGGTCAGCAAATTTAGCAGTGCCCCTGAGGTAGAGGAAAGCATCATCCATGCCTACTTTTCCTTTGAGCTTGTCCTACCAGAATTTTGGTGGGAGTGTAAATGAACACTGCCATTACAGAGGGCAGCTTAGTCTTTCAGTTTAATTGTGCACACTTTTTGTTAGGCAGGGCCAAGCCCTTTGGTAAACCTCCTCCATTTTAGGGGGGTAACTACAATAGCTAATTTGGTTTCTACAATTAAAGTAACTTGTTTCTCTACATTTTTGTTTTCCCAACCCAATGAACTCCAAATCAAGTAATGGCCATCTAGGAAAGATGTTCTGGATCATCTAACATTCTTTTTTTTTTTTTTTAATTATTATTATTACTCTTGTGAGTGTCCAATGAGCCTGCTTGGCCCTCCTTTCATGAATGAGCACAACTGACAACAAGTCCAATTGTGACGATGTTTATTGAACTCACAGAGATCCGCCTGCCTCTGCCTCCCAAGTGCTGGGACTACAGGAGTGTGCCACCATGCCCGGCTTATTATTTTTGTTTTATGTGTATGCGTGTATTGCCTGCATGTAGGTAAGTGCACCCGTGTTGTGCAATGTCCGCAGAGGACAGAAGATGCTGTTGGATCCCCTGGAACTGGAGTTAAGGACAGTTGTTAGCTGCCATGTGGGTGCTGGGATTCAAACCCAGGTTTTCTGCAAGAACAACCAGTGTTCTTAACTCTAAGCCATCTCTCCAGCCCCATCTAACATTCTTTAACAGGCTGCTCACTTGTTACCCTTAGCAGTGGCCAACTGTGGGCCAAAAAAGGAAAAGTTTTTTAAAATTATTTTTATTTTATATGTATGAGTGTATTGCCTGCATGTAAGTATACCCATGTTGTGCAATGCCTGAGGAGGTCAGGAGAGGGAACTGGAATTAGGACAGTTGTTAGCTGCCATGTGGGTGCTGGGAATTGAACTCAGGTCCTCTGCAAGAGCAGTCAGTGCTCTTCACTGCTGAGCCAACTCTCCAGCCCCGAAAGGAAACATTTTAACCTCCTTCCTCACCCCTTCCTCGGTCCTATAACTGTCCTAGCTTGTAAGTGGATGGTGGGCTCTGATTCTTACACAGAATAAAAGGTTTTCCCCCAAATAAAAGCTTGCACTGTCAGCAAGTTGTTCCTTCCCTTGTCTGTCTTTCCTTTTCATAGACCTTTCCCTTTAGACTCACTAATTCCATTTCTAGGACTGTATCAGGCAATAATCTGCAAGTATAAAAGTATATATGCAAGGATGGGTGAAAGTTGGATGGCTTAGAACAGTGCCCAACAGAACTTTCTGCAGTGATGGAAATCCCAATAGTGACAACACAGTGCCATGTTACTGAACATGTGGAACATGGCTAGTGTGGCTGAGGAGCCGTTGCTAACCTCAACAAATTTAAATAGCCAACATTGCTAGTGGCCATGATGTTATATGACACAAAATACAGAAAATTACCTTAAACATCTAGGCAGTTTCCAATTTTCTGTATCACCCAGTAGTCTAGTTCCGTATTATGCTATCCTGTACTACTGGGAAGAATATAGAGTACAGAATAACTTCTACAATTGTGATGTAAGTAAATCTGTTGATATTGTGATCTATCAATAACAGATGGGTTAAATGAAAAAAGATTTCAAAGAGAAGGTATATTGTATTTTTAGGAAAAAAATTAGTATTGGGCCATGGTGTAGCTCAGTTGGTAGAGTGCTTACCTAACATGCTTAAAGCTGTGAGTTTAATCCCTAGCATGCAATAAAATACTAGTGGTCCATGTCAGTAGTCCCAGCATCTGGAGGGTAAAGGCAGGAGGATAGGAAACTCAAGGTTATCCTCAGCTACATGTTGAGTTTGAGGATAGCCTATGCCACATGAGACCCTGTCTCAAAGAAAAAAATTCTAGCACTGTCTAGAATTTAATAATGGCTATCTCTGGGCAGTAAGGTAATAGGTGATACTTTTTCATATCTTAAAACATTTTTCCTTCAAGATTTATTTTTATTTTATGTGTATGAGTGTTTGTCTACATGTATGTATGTATTCCAGGTGCATGGCCTAAAAGGCCAGAAGGTAGTGTTGGATCCCTTGGAACTGGAGTTACAGATAGTTGTGAGCCACCATGTGGGTGCTGGGAACCTAACCTGGGTCCTCTGCAAGAGCAGCTAGTACTGTTAACCACTGAGTCATGTTTCCTGCCTTCTTTAAAGATTTTTTTAAAATATTTATTTATTTAGTGTGTGTGCATATGCCCACGTGGAGGGTAAAGGACAATTTGTGTGAGTTGGTTCTCTTCTTCCATCATGTGAGTTCCTGGGAATCAAACTCAGGTTGTCAGGCTTGGCAGCATTCACTGAGCCATCTCTGTGTGTGTGTGTGTGTGTGTGTGTGTGTGTGTACGCACGTGCATGTGTGTGTGTGACAGAGAGAGAGAGAGAGACAGAGACAGAGCGAGAACGTGCAATGGCACACGTGGAGAGGTCAAAGGACAACTATGAAGAGTCAGTTCTTATTTTCTAGCTTCTTTTTGTTTTTGAGACGGTCTTGCTGCTGCTGCTGCTGCACTATGCACTCCAGGCTGGCCGGCCTATGAGCTGGTTCTCCTGTTTCTGCTCCCATCTCACTTTGGAAGTACTAGTATAGATGCATGCTACAGCATCCAGCTTTTTACATGGATTCCTGGGCTCAAACTCAAGTGATTAGGTTTGCACAGAAAATGCTATTATGTGCTGAGCCATCTCTTAGTCTTTTCTTCATTTTATGTGTTGCGTCTTTTGAGACAATATCTTGCTAATGTAGACCAGGCTGGCCTCAAGTTTGAAATCCTCCTGCTTCTGCCTCCTGAGTACTGGGGTTACATCACACCCAGCTGCTTGAACCTGTATGTTTCTACCTTTTGGGGAAGACATCTAATTCATTGTCAACTCTCTCAAACTAATCCCAGTGCATACAGAAGCTGAACTGGAGGGCCACTTGAGTCCCCTGAGTCAGCCTGGAAAACACTGCGACCTCCTCTCAAAAGAAAAAAAAAGTCTCCCAAGTTCACATATCATTTTGGAGCACTTATAAATGTATTAAGAGAACTGGTTAGAAAATTATGAAATTCAATTTGCTAAAATATATGGTACTCCAGTCTATTATGCAGTAAAGCTGATAGTCTCTTGACATGAGATAATGGGTAAGAGAATTTAAAATTCCTCCTTACTCGGTTTCTGTTGTTGATATGTCTGCATAACTCCTCAAGATCTTTGTTGCTGAACAAATTTTCTTTAATTTCCATTTTCTTGTCTTTTGAAATGGCTGCCATTAATAGTCGGTGCACTATAATATCTGAATATCTTCTTATTGGAGAAGTAAAGTGGGTATATTTATCTAGCGCAAGACCTTCAATAAGAAACAAAAACATCAAAATAAAGGACACACACACACTCAAGCACTTACAAAAAGACTTGCTCGAGCTTACAGCCATACATAAAAACACTCCATTCACCATAATGCTGGAACTCTTCCTCTGCGCACGATCCTGTGGAAAAGTAGAGTGCATTGGACATGGCCTGGGTAGCCATAGAGCGCAGCAGCCTGTTCACAACAGGATCGCTGGGGTCATTTGCATCATCCAGAGAGTCAGCCAGAGTTTTATTGGACCTGACAAAGAACAGAGAAACCTTGATGGTCCCCAAAGGAAATTTACAAGCAGCCCCTTACATTCCTTGGTTTAAATATCTTCAACTGCATCGTGTAAATTTATTTTGGCCACATTTCTCTTTTTTAAATATTATTTTTATTTTATGTGTACGAATGTATTGTCTGCATGTATGTGACTGCACCCGTGTGGTGCAATGCTGCGGAGGTCAGAAGAGGGCTTCAGATTCCCCTGGAACTGGAGTTAAGGACGGTAGCCACCATGTGGGTGCTGGGAATCGAGCCCAGGTCCTCTGTAAGAGCAGTCAGTGCTCTTAACCACTGAGCCATCTCTCCAGGCAACCACAGCAATCTAGTTTGCTTTTAATGTTTAAAGAAAGAGTGTCAGGAGCCTGAGAGGGTGGGTTTGGACCTCCTCCATCGGGGTAGCTGCTTGGAGCTCAGCAGACTGCCAGAGTGGTGGGTTCTGGCCTCCAACTACCAGAGGGCAGGAGAACCCAGGGGACAGCCTGACAGAACCTGGATTCTGCCTCCATGTGGTGGTGAGCTTCCCCTAATTGCACCATACCACCCTCCTACCTCAGATTTTTGTAAGGCCCCTCCCAAGGCCCCAGGGTAGATCTACCTTTGGTAGGCTAAGGCTGGGATCTCAGCAGACCACCAGAGAGTGAGGAGTTCTGGCCCCCCTCTGGCCTCCTTCTGGCATAGGGTTGACAAGCACAGGACTGCCTGAGAGAGCCTGGATCCTACCTCCATGTGGTGAAGGAAGCCTGAGTGTACCTGACTGGAACCTGAATTGGGCTTCTGTGGGTACCCCTGAATAGCTGATCTGAAGCCATCAGTTCCCTCCAAAATAAACCTGAGAGAACCTGAACCCTGTACCAACCAGCTTTACATAACCAATAAAGAAAGGATCTAGACACCCGGATAATACAGACTAAATTCTCATATCAAAATCATAAATAACAAAAGAAATTCACATGCCAGAACCAGAAAGAAAGAATAATAAAATGGAAAGCCAAAACACTATGTCCCAATGAAAGCCCACTGATCCTATAGAGTTCTACAAGGAGAACCTCCTAGAGATAACCCAGGACACTGAATTTAAAAGAACAGTCATAAACATGATCAAGGAATTCAACAAATTTAAAGAACACACAAACAAATGAAAGAGCTAAAAGATGACAGGGATAAACTTCAGAATGAATTCACAAAAGAGATCGAAATAGTGAAGAAAATTCAGGCAGAAATGAAGAAGGAAGTGCAAAACTCAATAAGCCAACTTGAAACAACGGGGGAAAGCCTCATCTCTAAATGAATGAAATGGAAAACAGAATATCAACACTGGAGAATAAAGTTGAAGAATTGAATCACTCAAGCAAAGAGTATGGAAAATCAAACAGGAATGGAATATGCAGGAGATGTGGAACACCATGAAAAGACCAAATCTATGTATCATAGGAATAGAGGAAGGAGAAGGATTGTAGAAGATAATTTCACAAAATTAATGAAAAACATCCCCATACAAATACAGGAAGCACACGGAACATCAAATAGATAGGATCAGAAAAGAAACTCCCCTCAACATATCATAGTAAAAACACTAAATGTACAGAACAAAGAGAGAATACTGAAAGCGGCAAAAGAAAAACAAGTCACATACAAAGGAAATCCCATCAGAATTACAGATGACTTATCAATGCAAACTATGAAAGCCAGAAGAGACTGGACAAAGGTATTTCCAGTTCTACATGACAATAGATGCCAGCCCAGAATACTATACAGAGAAAAAAATGTCTATTATAGTTGAGGGGGAAAGAAAAATCTAAGACACAGATAGCCTGAAAGAATACATGTCCTCAAAGCCAGCCCTCCAAAGAATAGTTGAAGTGCTACAGAGAGCAGAGAGAGAAACAACTATACCCTAGGGGCAATGAAAGAAAATAAACCAAGATATAATCTACGAAACACAAAATTACACAGAGAATACAAACAGCAATCAAAATGATGGTAACTAATACATACCTTTGAATAATAACCTTAAATATCAATGGACTGAACTCCCCAGTCAAAAGACACAGACTAAGTGAATGGATTATGAAACAAAATCCATCTCTTTGCTGTCTGCCAGAAACCCATCTCACCTTCAAGGACAGGCACTACCTTAAGGTAAAAGGATGGAAAAGAATATTCCAAGCAAATGGCACTAAGAAACAAGCAGGGATTGTAATTCTAATATCTGACAAAATAGACTTCAAAGTAAAACTAATCAAACTAATCAAAAGAGATAAGGAGGTTCACATCATTCTGATCAAAGGAACAGTTAACTAAGACAATATTAAAATCCTGAACATATATGCACCAAACTCTGGTGCACCCAAATTCATAAAAACAACACTACAGGACTTTAAGACATAGATTAACCCCAACTCAGTAATAATAGAGGACTTCAGTACTCCATTGTCTCCATTAGAAGGGTCAACTGGACAAAGAATAAACAGAGAGACATCTGAATTAAATGATACCATACATCAAATGGACCTAACAGACTCTTTCGATTATTCCATCCAAACACCAAAGAATACACTTTTTACTAGCACCTCATGGAACTTTTTCAAAAACTGACCACATACTGGGCCACAAAACAAACCTCAACGAATGCAAAAATATTGAAATAATTCCACGCATTCTATGGGACCACAAAGCAATAAAGCTCAAAATCAACACTGGAAGAAGCCCTAGTCACTACATGAACTTGTGGCAATTGAACAAGGGCTCTGCAGATTATTTTCCCAGTTCTATGCTGGATTTTTGTCTGCCTGAGTTTGCATGGGACTTGTGTATCCTGGCACCATTGCCATAGAATCATATGAGCAGGTTCCCAGGAGCTTGTGGGACTCTGTTTCCATATGGTCGTGCACCCCCTCCCAGGCTCTTACAATTTTTCTTCCCCCTATTTTATGAAGGTCCCTAAGCCCTGGGTGGGTGGAGTCCTGTTCATGGACCAGCAATCTGCAAACTCTGGTTCTTTGAAAAGATAAACAAGATAGACCATTAGCCCAGTTAAACAAAAGAAAGAACAACTCCAAATCAACAAAATCAGAGATGAAAGGGGAAACATCACAACAGACACCCCAAAAATCCAAACTATTGTAAGGGAATATTTTAAAAACCTATACACAGGCCGGGTGTGGTGGCGCATGCCTTTAATCCCAGCACTCGCGAGGCAGAGGCAGGCAGATCTCTGTGAGTTCAAGGCCAGCCTGGTCCACATAGTGAGTTCCAGGAAAGCTGGGGCTACAGGGAGACCCTGTCTCAAAAAGTCCAAAAAAAACCCCCAACCAAACAAACAAAAACACCTATACGGTACTAAATCTGAAAGTCTAAAAGAAATGGATGGATACCTGAAATCATGGGAACCTCCAAAATTAAATCAAGAAGAGATCAACAGTTTAAACAGACCCATAACGTATAAGGAAATTAAAACAGTAATACAAAGCCTCCCAACAT